GATCGTAATAAAATTTATTATCCAAAGTATCACAGACTTTTTCTATAAAAGAATATGTTGAAATACATTTGAGGTGGTATCTTGTATGGCGTCAAAAAATGCTAATAGATATCCCAAACATAGAGAAGATACCAAATAAACACAACGTATATCATACGTCTTTGGAAATCAAGATTAGGTATGAACTGTCTGCGCAGTGAGACAGGTTTTGCGTCTCGCCAGTGTAGACAGGTTTTGCTTGTCTCGCACCAGCGAGAGCAGTGTTTTGCTGTTCTCCCAGCGAACAGACTTTGCTGTCTCGCAGCGAGTGACAGGTTTTTGCCTGTCTCGCCAGCGAGACAGGTTTTCTGTCTCGCCAAGCAAGACGCGTTTTTTCTGTCTTCGCCAGCGAGTACAGGACTATTTGTTGTCATCGCCAGCGAGGGCAGATTTGTCTGTTCTCGGCCGCGAGACAGTGTTGGAAATGGTCCAAAACTCCCTCAGATAACTGCCCTAGCACGTCGTCCATATAACTGCCAAGGGAGGTCCTGGTGGGAACATGGGTGGGCGAAAATGATCAACGTGAATAACTGCGCAAATAGCACGAGTTTGAAACGTGGAGAGGCAGTTAAAACGAGAAAACTGCAGAATATTCCATTTTCAGCACACGCATTTACTGTCTTGTCGGCCCGAGACAGTGCAACACTGTCTCGCCCAGCGAGACAGTAAACACTGTCTCGCGCCATAACGTTGTTGTTTTGTTAGTAGTTTTGCTGGCAGTTATTACCCCAGAGGCTATAAATACCCCCCTAGGGTCACTTCTGACGAGGATCGAGCATATTTTCGAGCAATCCAAAGCAGAGAGAGCAGATTTGAGTTTTCGTGTAACTCCTTGAAATTAAGCTTTGACTTGATTTTAAGAAGAACGACTATCTTACTTTGATAAGATATCGTTTCAAATTCTCACTTCGATAAACGAAGTCAGAACCAGTAAACCCCCCTTCACGATCTGTGATTCGGCGATCCACGAACCAAAGCGTTTCCGGTACAGGCAAAGTCCCACAAAAACAAGAATCGATAGACGATTTTTGTGTTAGTTTCTCAAGAGTTGTAATTTTCTAATTTTTTTCATTGTAATTCGTTGTAAACGACTAAAGTTCAATAGAATTATCAATGGAAGCAACTTTTGATGCAAACAAGAATGATCATTTATAGTAGAGACAGTCTACTCAAATGAAGCATATCACTTGATCACCCATGATAAGATAATGATGCTGATTAATAGGAAGTTCCCGAAGAAGTGCTATTCTTAGTACATTTAGGATAACCTATTTGATGCACGTAACTTGAATTATTATACATGTTGTACATTTTCATGCACATAATGTTAGCGTTGCTCACTAACGGGAAGTTCTTGGAGAATAATACGCATAATATTCTTAAGGATAACCCGACATTAATTGACTATTTAAGATGAAATTCAACCTTTGAATAGTTTTTCTTAATCATCATTAAGATGATTAAAATTCTTCCACTATGGCTCTAAGTTCCTTTAGAGATGAAGTACATTTCATTGGCTTCAATCCAATTGGAACAAATCTTCTGAATCTTTTCAAATCCATCTTGGTCATCAATATTTTATTGAGGACAAGAATCAATTGGAACAAATCTTCTGAATCTTTTCAAATCCATCTTGGTCATCAATATTTTATTGAGGACAAGAATCTTCTTTTGAGGCGAAAGATAACAAAATACAATCCATCTTGGTCATCAATATTTTATTGAGGACAAGAATCTTCTTTTGAGGCGAAAGATAACAAAATACTTTCTTTCCTTTATTTTTCGATCCTCCATTTTTTCCATTGGTCAGGATTACTTTGACAACCCTCCCATTGTGATTCTTGGACCATTCTCCCACTAAAATCTGATGATCACATCCAATCAAATTTATTCAGTAAAACTCTCATTGTATAATTATTGAACGTTCGACAGTTTATAATTTTCCACTTTAAAATCCATCACTGATCAATCAATTGACGGTGGATCCACCACATCAAAATCATTAGCCATAAGAAAAGCGAAAAGATAAGAAAGTACTTTCTTTCCTTCTTTCATGGTTAAACTCATACATCCTCCCACTGTGTCCTGGTATTTAACACTCCTACTGTTGAAGTCCTGACATAGTAGTCAATATTCTACTTTGCATTAATTGCTAATCCATAGTAATTAGCAAACCCCTTATGTCAAGTTTTTGTAAGAAAATACCATCAAAAACGTGACACTAAAACTCCCATTTTGTCCTTGTTTTTAAGGAAATCATGATTGTCAGAATCATGCTCATCGTTTCTACTACCTTTACCCTCACTTGGTCAAACTTTCAGATAGTTAGGGCCAAAGCTAAAATCCCGTCTCGATTTTTTCCATGAACGAGAGGTCCACTCAAATTGAGTGATCAAACCTTCAGATAGTTAGGTTCATCTCAAACTCCCACCTGGTCAAACCTTCAGACAGTTACGACCAAAACCAAAATTCCTTCTTGATTCCTTCCATGAACGAGAGGGCTATTTAAATTAGATAATTAAACCTTCATACAATCTAGGGTTATCCAAATTCTATCTTTCTGCTCACGTGAGTTAAAAGGTCTTTATAGGATCGAAAAGTTGATGATTGAATTCATTGTTTTAAGAAATGGTTCTATCACTTAGTAAGAACCTTTTACAATCACTCACTCTCGATTACAGAGGAAGAGAAGGTTGATCCGACTTCTCTTTTGTTCAAAAGTGGGTTCTTGGTGGTGAAAGGATGCTTCTCTCGATACTCAAGCCGAGATTGCTTCTCATTGATGATCAGATTAAGATCACAAAAGCTTCTGATGGTGGCTTAGATCACAAGAACGCAGACACTGATCTCTCTTCACGTGATAGCTAAAAATCCTCCAAAAAGTCCTCTCTTCATAGCCGCTCATGGCTATTTATAAAGTTCGTAGCACGTAACTAACATGCTAGAATTGTGGGTAGAGAGCGTAACTGCCTCCTCCAATTCAGCCTACGTTGGTTGGGTGTAACGTGCTCCTGAAGTTTAGCCCAGTGGCTAACTAAGTCTTCAGATCCGTTACAGCTGGATCTTCTATGGACGACGAGCCTCGCTGCATGACGAGGTTCGTCAGATTGGACAAGCCTTAATATACAGCGAGCTTTGTCTTATGAGTCAAGCTTTGCAGTATAGCGAGCTTCTTCTGGCGAACTTTGTCTTCAATGACTTCGTCTGACGAACTTCGTCTTCACTAACGAACTTTATCTTCGATAGCTGAGTCCAACTGCATAGCAAGTCTTATGAATTTCCTTTTGATGAGCCTCGTCTTCACCGACGAGCTTTAAGTCTGATGATGAGCTTCAAACCTCATTTCCAATGACGAGCTTTGTCTTTGATGTCAAGTCTTGCTGCGTGGCGAGCCTCGTTTTTGATATGGATCCTCGTTGGGTGGCGAGTCTCATCTTTGATTGAGACAAGGTTCATCCCCATGACGACCTTCATCATATCTTGAAGTTTGGTATTTTTTTAATGCTTACAGTCTTTTCTGAGTTAATGCCACATGACATGACTCAAATTTGATTCTTGGACTGGAGATCCCACTCTGAGTTTCCCTTTCAAGATTCTCGGAGTGGAGATCCCACTTTGAGTTTCTTTCCAGATTCTTTGATACACGTGCATCTAGAATCTTTTGACTCTAAGTTCACATGAACAAAGAGTCACTTTTGAAGTGAAAGATAAAAAAATACTTTCTTTCTCTTCAGTACAGGTTCATCTCTGCCCCAAGAGGAGGCACAACAGGGTTCGTCTCTGCCCTAAGAGGAGACACAACATGGTTCGTCTTTGCCCCAAGAGAATACACAAAAGTCTACACGTGTAGCTAGTTATTGTTACTGACTTAGCGACATCTAAATCTATGCCTTTCATGCATAGGGGACTTTATCTCGATCCCTTATTAGAGATAAGCCTACATCTAACATATGTTGCCGGATAGTCTATTCCCATAATAATGACGAAGTCTACGTATTCAACATGTAGCACTTAAATCTATGCCCTTCATGCATAGGGGACTTTATCTCGATCCTTTATTAGAGATAAACCTACGTCTAACACATGTTGATGGGTAGTCTATTCCCGTAAAAATGACGAAGACTATGTATTCAATAACGTAGCACCTAAATCTATGCCTATCATGCATAGGGAATTTATCTCGACCCCTTATTAGAGATAAATCTATATCTAACACATGTAGCCAGGTAGTCTATTCCCGTAAAAATAACGAACTATACATATTCAATATCGTAGCACCTAAATCTATGCCTTTCATGCATAGGGGACTTTTTCTCGATCCCTTATTAAAGATAAGTCTACGTCTAACACATATTGCCAGGTAGTCTATTCCTGTAATAATGACGAAGTCTACGTATTCAATATCGTAGCACCTAAATCTATGCCTTTCATGCATAGGGGACTTTATCTCGATCCCTTATTAGAGATAAGTTTACGTCTAACACACATAGTCGGGTAGTCTATTCCTGTAAGAATGATGAAATCTACGTATTCAATATCGTAGCACCTAAATCTATGTCTTTCATGCATATGAGACTTTATATCGAACCCTTATCGAAGATAAGTCTACGTCTAACACACGTAGTTGGGTAGTCTATTCCCGTAAGAATGGCAAAGCTTATGTATTCGATATCATAGCATCAAGTCTAAGAAAAATTATTCTTTTAGCACAACGTTACATGTGGAATAGACTTAGACAATCTGCATGCTAGCCCAACTCAAACGGTAGTTGGTAAAGGCTCATCAAATCCGTTGATGGCTAAGAGTTTGCCTAAAATCCTAAAAATATTATGTTTATTTATTCCAAACAGAATAAGTAATCATAATAGAGTGTAAACGATAAAAAAGTTCATTTTATTTATAAAATGAAAGCAAAAGATACAAAAAGGGGTGTTGCCATTCTACGGATAGTTTGCAACTACAGATTTGTGCTTTCAATTTGGAGAGTTTTTCTTCGTAAGCTCGTTCAAGCTCCACCTTCAAATCGGCTTTCAGTGAGTCCTCAGTGGTGGTCAAGGCCTTAGCGGCCTCTCGTTCCATTTCAACCAGCTTCTCTCTCTGAGGCTTCAGCTTCTCGAGCATCGTCGTGCGAGCTCTCTCCATGCTGGTCAAGTCGCTTTCTAGGATGAGATGAGTATCCTTAGCATATTCTAGGGCTTTCTCAAGGCGGGCTATTTCTTCACAGCTTGATTCTAGAGATCGGAGCAGGACTGTTTTAGTCCTTGCCTTCTTGGCAAGAACTACTTCTAGTTGCATCACACTGCTCCATAGCTTTTTGAGCTCAAGCCCAACGGAAGTCTATGTATCATGCCATGCCTTCAGCCTCAATTCCATATGAGCAGCTACATATGAGGAAGCACAAGCAGTACAAAGTTCCTTCAGCTCCTAGAGTTCCTGCTCTAGATGACCCAAGTCTGATACTATAGAATCGGCCAAGTCATGATGCGGCATAATTATGTACTAAAATTGTAAGTGCACAATTGATCAAGTTATAGTATAAAAAGTTATCGATCCCACGAGGAAGGTAATTTTAAAATTGTAAGTGCACAATTGATCAAGTTATAGTATAAAAAGTTATCGATCCCACGAGGAAGGTAATTTTAAGAGATATAAAAAGTTATCGATCCCACGAGGAAGGTAATTTTAAGAGATTATTAGAATTGGTTCTTATGTTTTGTGTGTGACAAAAATAGGATTAAATAGTAAGTGTGATTATGGAGAGAGATATGATGAGTGATTAATTTGAATATATGCAAGTGACAATAAATTGAATTTTAGACAAGAGAAGAAAGAATCAAAGAATAAAATAAAAAGCAAGAATAAAAAGAGAAAAATCAAAAAAACAAAAGATGGAGGATTCAATTAAAGATATGAGTGATCTAGAATTGAATCCACTAGTTAATCTCAATTATAAAATACAATCTATTCTCTTTTTATCATGTTTTAACTTAGATTTATTAAGCATAGACTATCAAACCATTTAAAGAAAGTATAACCTATCAAATTATCATCTAAGTCAAAATAAAAATCATGATAAGAATAACAACAAGATAATAATCCTATAATTCATAAGTATAACCTATCAAATCACTCAAGATAAGCATAGATTATCAAATTCTTCTTCTATTAATTAGTTCTCTAGTTGATTATCCTACATGATCATTTTAAGTGTAAGAGAATAATTTGTATAACATAAAAGAAATTAGACTAGTTTCATACAATTCTAATATTACTACAAGAATTAATTTCACATCTTAAGAAATAAAAGCAAGAAGAAAAAGAAATAATTACAAAAAGAAAAAGAAAAATCTAAACTATGAACAAGAAATAAATCTAACTACAAAGAATTAAAATCTAAACTACAAAATAAATTACAAAAATTAAATGCAAGAAAATAAATCTACTCTATAAATTAAAGTGTAAAAAGAAATAAAAAGATAAGAAAATAAATCTACACTACAAGCATGAATGTAAATCTAACTAATAAGCAATAATAAAGAAATTACTAAAAAGAAATAAAAGAGAAAAATAAAAAAAAATACAAACCTTCAAATTGCTCTTCATCTCCATCCTCATCATTCAACAAAGAGGAGAAAAGAAAATTTTAAAGTGGAGAAAATTTCTTTTATTAATTGTAACAAAAGTTACAAATTTGGAAGGTCTTCTTAATTAAGAGTAACTCTCCTCTCCAAATGAAGTTACAAAATTTTTCACTCCCCTTAACTCCTCACTCTCTACCCCTAATTATAGTAAATATTAGTGAATAAGAGCCATTAGATTAAAATTTTATCCAAAACAAGCAAATTTCAGCCACTAATCTGTAACAAACCGCCGGAGGTATCGATACCAGCATCGATAAGGGTATCGATGCCAGCATCGATAAGGGTATCGATGCCAGCATCGATAAGGGTATCGATGCCAGCATCGATACAGGTGTCGATGCTGGCATCGATGCCCAGTGCTCTCCTATTGCTATCCGAACTTTTTCTCTTGTTCTTGGACTTGGGCTTTTGGGCTTTGTCATTTCTTCTTCTTTTTAGCTTTGGACTTTTGGATAAATTGGCAATTGGATTTTCCAATGGGCTTCTTGATTTCTCTTTTGCTTTATTTCTTTATTTATTCAAGGGCCTTTGTTGAGAGATGGGATTTTTGGGATTTATTCTTTATTAACCTGCATTTAAAGATAAAAATAATTATTAGTGGTATATTTATTCATATAAAATAGATAATAATGGTATAAAATTATAATAAAAATGTGATTATCAAATATCCCCACGTCTAAACTTTTGCTAGTCCTCTAGCAAAGAAAGAGAAAAGAAAATCTAACTCACTTTCGTAGGAATCGCGGTTATATTTAGCTCATACAACAAGCCTTTAAACCCCTAGGTTACCCTAGAGGACGAGTTATAGTCTCGTGAGGGTTTGTAGTGAATATGCCCACAAAATTCGATCAACTTGCCAAGTTAAATAAGTCAGTAAATAACTAATTTTCTTTGATATATTTAGACATTCTAATTGAAGCTAGTTAATAATCAAGAAAATGTTTTTATATATAACTCTAATGTAAATCTCTTAGAAAATCTTTTTCATTATAGCAATACAAAACCAAGTCAAATCTTAGAGATTTAATTTAAAAGTTTTGAAAATAACATGCTAACTCTTTGTTTTAAATAACTTTTAAGTCTCTTGATCAAAAATTGTTTTTCAATACCATATATACAAAATAACAATATATATTATATATATATATATATATATATATATATTTCACTCTTTAATTCTTGGTGATTTTTTTTCTATTTAATTGGGCTTTCTAAGTGACTATTTAACGAGTTTTGGGCCAATGAATCTCAACCCAATTGGGCTTAGGTCATTATGTATAGAGATACTCATTGGGCTTAATTACTCAGTCAACTTAGACTTTATAAGATAGAATCACCTTGATTTTAAGAGTTTATTTTTTTTCCTTTTTGGTGCCCATTTTCCGCACTCTTCTTTTATAAGGTTAGTTTTTTAATATATATATATATGTGTGTAAGTATATATATAGTCTGAAAAAAATGTATAAATCAAGATAACTTGAAAAAAATATTTTCAACTCTAACTTAAGCATGCAAAAATTTTATTATTTTTAATTAAAAGTCTAAGGTAAGGCTTAAGTAAAGTATACTACTAAAAAATTCATTATTTTTAATTAAAAGTCTAAGTCAAGGCTTAAGTAAAGTATACTACTTGAAAAATCATTTCTTAAGAAATTTATTTGGAGTTATCATAAAAGGTGAACTTGAGTATATCACTAACTAGGAATTAGAAAATTTAAAATCTATCAATTAGATCAATTATTACTTAACTCTATTAATTTGGCAAGTGACAATATTTTTTTATTTTTTTATTTTTTTAAACAAAAATTATGTCAAAAATGCAACAAAAGGATAAAATAAAGAAGAAAATATGTACTTCTCACCCCCACATCTAAATTTTGCATTGTCCTTAATGCAAATTCGCTGATGCACAAAGTAAAGCAGATAAGAATTAAAGAACTTACATTTGTTCTGTTAACCTAGAACAATGATGATAAGGATCTGCAATTACTGTTAGTATGAGGATGAAGAAATCAAATAAGAGAGAAAAATTATAATTATTTTAAAAAAAAAAATCATTTTTTTTGTTTTAAATTTTTTATATATTTTTTTATAGATAATGAGGTTCATGAAGAACCAACACATCTTCCTCTCCGAGCGTAGAAAATTCTAAAAATGGTTTTAGACGTTGACCATTTATTTTAAAAATGTTACCATTTTTAGGATTTTCTATCTCGACAGCCCCATGCGAAAAAACTTGTTTGACAAAATATGGACCTGTCCATCTTGATCTTAATTTTCCAGAAAAAAGATGTAACTTTAAATTATACAATAAAACTTTCTGTCCTAGAGAAAAAAATTTCGTAAAATTGATTTGTCATGAAAAATCTTGGTTTTCTCTTTATAAAATTTTGAGTTTATGTATGCATCATTTCGAATTTCTTCCAACTCATTTATTTAGAGCAATCTGTTTTTACCTGCTGAGTCTGAGTCAAAATTTAACTATTTTATTGCCCACATTGCTCGATGCTCCAACTCTACTAGTAGGTGGCAAGCTTTCCCAAACACCAGTATGTATGATGACATCCCTAAATTAGCCTTGAAAGCTGTTCTATATGCCCACAGAGTATCACATAATTTTACAGACCAATCTTTTCTGTTATGATTAACTGTTTTTTAAGATTTTTTTGATCTACCTGTTTGTGACCTCTACTTGACCACTGGTTTGAGGGTGATAAGGAGTTAACAATTTGTGCGTGATTGAATATTTCCTCATCAAAGCCTCAAAAAAACGGTTACAGAAGTGTGTACCGTTATCACTAATGATCGCTCGAGACACTCCAAACCGTGCAAAGACATTCTCCTTCAAAAAGCTGACAACAACCTTGTTGTCATTAGTTTTGCAAGCTACCGCCTCAACCCATTTTGACATGTATTCGACAGCTACTAGAATGTAAACATTTCCAAATGAATTTGGAAATGGTCACTTGAAATCGATACCCCACAGATCAAAAAGTTTAACAGATAAGATGGGTTGTAAGGGCATCAAATTTCTTCTAGTGACTTTCCCTAAAAGCTGACAGCGGTTACAGGTTTTACAAAACTCGTATGAATTCTTAAAAAGAGTGGGCCAATATAGCCCACATTGGAGAATTTTTTTAGCTGTTTTTTTTGGGCCAAAGTGACCCCCACATGCTTGCTCATGACAAAAGGATAGAACACTCCTAGTTTCTTCAGTAGGAACACACCTCCTAAAGATCTGATCTGGATAGTATTTAAACAGATATGGATCATCCCAGTAAAAGTATTTTACTTGGGAGAGAAAACGGGATCTATCCTGTTTGGACCAATGAGAAGGGATCCGGTTCATGACTATGTAGTTCACAATGTCAGCGAACCATGAAACATATTGGATTTGTAGGAGTTGTTCATCAGGGAAATGCTCATTGATCAGAACGGTTGATGTTGGTGCATTCGGGAGTCGAGAGAGGTGATCTGCTACGGGGTTCTCTGTTCCTCTTCTGTCAAGAATTTAAATGCCAAACTCTTGAAGTAGGAGAATCCATCTAATGAACTGTGCTTTGGCATCCTTTTTGGTCAAAAGATACTTTAGTGCGACATGATCTGTGAAAACTTTGGTTAAGGAGCCGATGAGGTAGGATCTGAATTTTTCTA